GAGCCAGGCAAAGGAGAAACAAGATGCCAACACAGGCCGTGGTAAGAAGCGGAAAGCCGGGTCAGGGCCAGATGGAGAAGGCCAGGAGCAGCAGTCTGAGGCTGCTCCCAAGAAGCGTGCAAAGTGCGCGCGGCATTGCAAGGGATGCAAGCAAAAGATTGCTGCTGAGGACTGCGCTCCTAACTTCCCAGGGTGTTGGAAGTGCAAGCGGGCCCTCGACAACATCTACAAGTTGGCGACCAAGCAGGGCAAAGAAGCTGTCGAGTTTGTGAAAAAACAAAGAGAGGATCCAGACCTTTGCTTCAACATGGTCCAGAGCTATTTGGAGTTGTGCCCGGAATGCTGCGATATGGGGGGCGCCAAGAACAAGAAGCGAGGCACTTGGTCTTTGGCCAAATACCGCGAGCGTACTGTTGCTGCAAGTGGCTTTGTGAAGGACGCAGTGGGTGAGATGATGCACAAGAGGCTGTACACAGAGTTTGCCATGACAGTCAGGGGGGGGGAGGAAGACTGAGGAGCAAATTGCTGCTACATGGTCTGAGTGGGAACAAAGGGCTCTTGCAAAAGACCCAGAGCTGTTCTTTGACTATGGTGGAGAGAATGGAGCGCTTCGAATTTGGGTCAAGACAGCTGACCAGCTCTCCTTCCGCTCTAGCTTCATGCAGGAAAAAGAAGCTGTCGTGGAGGTCGAGCAGAAAAAGAATGCGACTCAAGCTGATGTGGACCGCATGAAGGCAAAATCTATGAGCAACCATGACCCAATCGCTGACCAAATCCAGATTTGCCAGGCTCTTGTGCGACACGGTGACGCAGCCTTTCAGGGCAACGATGGGTTCCTGGTGGATGTCATGGACCTGGCAAAGACGTGTGAGGCCAAAGCTGCTTCTGAAGAAAGCAGAGGGGCCAGCCAAGAAGGGTGATGGGGAAGAGGCGAATGGCTCGTCACCAGAGAAGCCAGCAAAGCCTTGGGTTGACCGGGACCGTGTTATTTCTGCCACAGTCAGATCATCCACCACGCAAATCAACCTTTTCAAGACCAAACTTGAGAAGGGTCTGAAGGACCACAAGGCAAGCTTGGAGGAGCACAAGTCCAACCCAGATGCGGTCTTCCAGAAGAACTTTGCTGGTGAAATCAAGATCCTAGCCAACCGTGTGGAAGCCCTTACCATCATTTTGGACACGCCCTCAGCTTGAAGTCCGAAACGCGCGCATGCTTCACTTGCAGCCATCATTTTTCAACATTATAGTTTTGCTCAAGATAGAGTTATAGAACTAAGGACCCCAACGGGGATGAAAACACGGTCAAGAGCTACATTGGGAGGTTCGACGCTGCTTTGCCAGAACTAGGTGAGCTGGACAGCAATCCAGTTGAGCTTGGGCGAGCCCCTCCTTGTGAGCTCTATGCTTCCCTCAAGCCATTCACTGCTTTGGAGGGCGCTGTCAAGAATTACCAGCGTTGCACGCAGCCTGCCCACGTGAAGGACTAGTTTGACTGAACGGCTTTGTGTTCCAGTGGCTGTTGTTGAATGCCTTCTGAATGTTTGTTTGCCACACCAAAGCCAAGAAGGCATTGATGTGCAGAGCCCAGGCCCCAAGCCAAAGTTAGCTAGCCCCGCTGACAAACCCCAGCTGAGTGGTCTTGGTCGGGGTTATCTCCATTGGTCCACAGGCATGCATGGTGTTTGGGATAGTCGATATGAGTTGCGGCGTCAGGGGTTATTTATTGGATGTTCAACTTCCCGGTTCATGATCACCTCTTTGTTTTTCCTTTGCGACGACATCATGTGCAGGAAGTGACAGCCGAGATTGTGGCAATCCGAGCTCCTATGACCCAGCTTCTGGCAGCTACATCCAGGGCTGACAAGGCGGTCAAGAGTGCTGTGGAGCAGTTGAAAAAGCAAACCGCAAAGCAGCAAGCTGACGCGAGCAAGCCAAAGAAAGCAGCAGGCCAAGCAGCTGCCCAAGTGCCCGTGTTTGACCAAGGAGTGGCTGGCGCCACTGCTGTTCAACGTGTGGCTGCAGACTGCAGCTTTGACATGTCCAAGCCCTTCAGCTTGGATTGCTCTTCTTGGGTGAGTGAGCTTATGAAGGATGGTGCGAAGTGCAGGCAATGTGTGGACTCCTTTAGGGATTCCTTCAACGATGCCCGCAAGAAATCCAAGGGGGCCAGAGTCTCGAAAGCTGTTGAGGACAGTGAAGTGCTAGCGGCTCTACAGAGTAAAGTTGATGACCTCTTCCTGAAGTCTGGGCGTGTGGTTGCCCGGGACTCAATGACTAAGCAGTTGCAGGATGCCTTGCAGGTGAGCCTCTTTGGCATTGATGCTAGCTATGACAAAGTGAGTGGTGAATTCCTTGGCTGCGCAGTGGCGCGCTTGTTTGTAGAAGGCACGCGGACTGTGGTCATGACTGAAGTGTTGCAGTTGCAAGGGTTCATGCAAAGGAAGGGCATTGCTGGGTTGATAACCCTAGCAAAGATGTCAGCTTTCTTCCGCGCCATGAATGTGGCGATGATCCAGGACTATCAGAAAGAGTGTGTGTTGTGGTCTTGCACTATGGGCCCTGGCGATTTCTTGTATGTCCCCTATGGATTTGTCCAGGCCGAGTTGGTCCAGCAACCGACAGTTGGCGTCCGCGTGCCTTTGGTCTGCAAGCATTCAGCGCATGAGAACTCAAGTTTGTGCCTCTCAAAAAGGAAAGCAGATTGTGAGCGCCAACTTGCTGAGAAGGGAGACAGTGGTGGTGCCAGTGCAGCGGCTGGGGTGGACGCCGCAAAGCTCAAACAAGAGATAGCTCTTTTGTCCGACTTGTCTACAGCCATAGCTAGCTGAGCCTTCTACTAAGTCTCAGGGATGAAGGGTGAATGGAACCGGCTGACAGGCGGCTGGGAGGGCCATTCTGAAACCTTTCTTTTTCTAGAGCGAGGGCCGTGTGGAAGAAAAGAACACCTTTGTGAGACTTTGTGCATTTTTTAGTTTTCCTCTCACACTCCAGCGCGTACAGTAGCAGACATGGGTTGTATTGTTTCTGTGTGTGTTTCATGCGCAGCCTCTCAGAAATGTCCCAGACTTAAACGCTCAGATTCGATGTTTCAGTTCACCTCTGTGCTCAGGCCAACTTTAGCTTGAGATTCGGGGACCACTTGTCTCACCAAGATTCCAAAGGCACAGAACCATCACCTTGCAGCAAAGAGCTGGCTGCCAAATTCTTACGACAGAAGTTCCACTGCCTTTTTGTGTTTGTTGTTTAAAAACATTCGCACGCCAGTGTGATGCGCTACTGAATCTCTAAAAGTTTGTGAGCAGCCAACAAAGCTCGCCCCAAAGAGTGAGGTGCTGCTTGATGCGGCGGAGAGCAAATGCTCCTTTTGGAAGCCGTCCATTTTTGTCAGACAAAGGGCGCAGAATGTCTGTAGTGGGCACACCCAGGAGCTTTTCAATCTGTTGAATTGAGCTGCCTGTTACTGTGCTTCGTTCTCATCCTTGTTGCTTCCACTCCCCTTCACTCCTCTTGTGAATGACATCCCTCCCAGCGCATTTTGCACTTAACAGGTTCTCGCATAGAGCAAGGTTTTTCTCAGACTTGATTCTGCAGTCTTTTGACCCGTGTCTACAAACCAAACAAGCAAAAATCTAGAGTTGATGTTTGCAAACTGCATCGGTGTTTTCATGGGAAACTCTTTCGTGGACACAGTGCCCTTACACCCTTTTAAGGGGTTCTACGAACCCGCAGGCTCAAGCGCCGCCAAGGCACAGGCCTAAGTTGCTGGTTGCGCAGTCATGTGTGTAGGAGTGTGCTTATGTCCACGGCTTCTCGTTGGATAATTCGTTTGCGCAAAATTCATTTGAACGCTGCGTCCAGTATCACTGCGCCAAACGCACCGCTCTGGATGTGATTTGTATGGTAGCGTAGCCTTGGGTGATTCTTGCAACTGTGTGCATCTCGCTTGGTGCTGTACAGGCCTTTGGGCCAGTTTCCCCAGAAAAGCAGGGACCAAACTGCAACCGCGGAATTTCATAGTGGTGATGCCCTTTTGAATCCTTTTGATCGTTTTGTCACGGATTTGGAGAAGACAAAAGAGGCACCAGCAAAGGAGTGCCACGTTCTGGGGTCTAGCTAGGTCTTCCCAAGCAGCCGTAAAGAACTTATACAAACATAGACCCCAAACAGCTTCAAAACGATTCGGTTAGACCAATATTAGTCAAAAATCGATTTCTTGGTAGGGCCTACCTTCACCCCAGGAGGAAACTGCTTCATCATTGAATTTTTGTCGGCATTGACATCGCTTTTTGTTCGGCCACACTCCTCTCCAGTAAGCCGGGCCACAGAGACCAGCCACAGAGTTCAGGGGCGCGACAAGAGGAGGACAAGGCCTGGACACAGCCCAGCCACAGAGGACAAGAGGAGGACAAGGCCTGGACACAGAGCCCAGCCACAGAGTTCAGGGGCGCGGCCAGTGAGTGTGGCCAGCTCCTTTTTTCTAAGGTAGAACCCCAACAGTAAACTGCTTGGGGAAATGCCTTGAAAGACTATGTTTGCAGCCTGATTGAAGGGCATGGGCCCGGGCATGGGTGGTGTGGTGATGCCCCTTTTGATCGTTTTGTCACTGTTTTGGGGAGGACAAGAAATACACCAGCAAAGGGGTGCTATCTTCTGGACTGACGGTTCAAAATACCGCAGCAAATTGCTGACGAACACCAATACAAAGTTCGTGTTCTTCTTGTTGTTCCCAGCCTCAATGAGGGCTGGCTTTCGTCCCCTCCCTTCTCCGGTGTCATAATGTATGTAGGTAAAGTGCCGATGGTGTGCTTAGCGGTTACTCGTACCATTTTCTTGGCCAGCCTGGACAGCCCAGCTTCTAACCCATCGCTCTTCGGTTGGAGGCCATCGCCATTAGGTTGGAGGCCATCGCTATTAGCTTCCAACTAGCTCAGGGGAGACTGAAGCAAATTCGGCCACGATGGGTTTCCTTTTATGCATTTGAACATGTCATTCTAGCTGAGGAGAGGGCCGAAGAGCGCTTCGATGTGTTTGTAGCGTCGGTGCCCACCCTAGATTTGTCAGCTTGTTCAATCCAACCACGAGTGTGGTCCAGCTGTAGGCATCCCATGTGTGTGCTGTATGCTGCATGTTAGGTCGTTCAGATTTGGTGCCGAACAGTGGGAGCTCGCCTGGAAGGGAATTGGTTCGTTGAGATCGTTCAGGCATGATGAAACGGACAACGGATAGTGACTGACGCCTTTGATGACCTGGATGCGGCAAGCATCCCAAGGGTCCACAATGATGTTTGCCAGTTCCAACACTTTGCAATTGACATCAGAGACACCACAACCCGCCACCCACTACTACCCACGCAAGTGCAGTCATGCAAACCACATAATCACGAAGTATCGCGGCTTTTGTGTGCAAAGGTGTCACAGTGTCACACGACAATTCTTTTCTGTGCGACCTGGTGTTAGTAGATGGCAGCACAGATTGAGTAGCTTGTTCCCAACCTGTTTCTTGCTTGCATTGTATGCCCTTATTGTCTCAGGGGCTAGCAGTTTTTGCCCTCAGACGAGCTGCCAATGATCACTGTGCCAGAATATCTAAACATAGCAGCAACTTGTATACACTTACACTGTGATTCTGATGCGTTGAGTCATCTTGGCCAACACCAAGACTATATACAGTAAACATACCAACCATGCACTACTGTAATTCTGGTGCGCTCTCACTGGCCACTGACCAGTCCTGACCACAGGCACGACCCGTGCAAGAGTCTGCGCCATTCATGCTAGTTGGCTTCATCATGGGCACCTTGTGACATGCCTTCACAGCGCAATGCTTGGGGAAACAGAAAGTTGTTTTTGTTTTGACTGATTTGTGAATTGGCACTGGCAGCTGAGGTATGTCACCTTTCGGCTTGCCTACATGCCAGCCGTGCATCTCCCACTCACTAGCACAAGCTCTGTCATTTTCCATTCCGCTTTCGTCCTAGCTGCGCTCTCCTATGAGTGCCTGGAACCAAACTGGCAATTTCTTTGCTGACAGATCATCAACCCCCAGCCAGCTGTGGTGCTTTATGCGAAATACACCAATTATCATCCTTAAACTTTGGCAGCTGGCAAAAACACACAATTCAAGTTGCCCTTGCCAGGCCCCAAACTCTCCTAGATGAATGCCGAAAGACTAGCTTAGAAGTCCACTTGCCCAGTTTTCTTCTTTGCAGACGGTTCGTTGGACCTAGGCGTGGGGTCACAGTGGACCCTGGCGCCATCCCGGAGAACTGGCGAAAAGCGGAGGATGGGCGACCACGCTTTGAGCTGGAGGGTGGCCGAGTCTTCCTTCATGAGCGTCGAGGGCCTTGGACGAGCGATGCACTTTTTCAAAGGGGGTAAATAGATATTCTATCATATTATGTATATATTTCCGCTGAGTGAGTGGTGTTTCCGCTCAGGCAAGAAGAAGACAGGTGAACTCCGGTTTTGCAGTAAAGAAATGACTCTGGACATGCAAGCCATGGCATCTCTCACTAATCATTCACTCTTTTTTCCCCACTGCTCCTTTTACTACTGATGAGCCAAGGAAGTTCAAGCCTGACAGAGTGCCTAGAACGCAGGAAGCAGGTCCATTCTGAAGCATCATGACCTCTGAAGACGGATGGGTATATACCAGTCTCGTGCTACCTCCGGTGCTCAGGCGCATTACTGCAGTGTCATGCGGCGAAATGTGCTTCGAATGGACCACTACTGTCTTTGGCTGGCGAACTGTTCCTTGTCAGCAGATTTGCGACAGACATAGGACAGACATGCATCTCTGACCATGATGTGTGTTCGAGGTCGGCCGAACTTGTCCCTTGTTGGCTCAGGTGTGGGATACCACAACCACAAGTATTTCTTCCTTTTCTTATTCTACACTCTGATTGCGACAGGCCCTGCCCAGCACTGACAATGCGGTTGACAGAGGGGTGCTGCTCGATATCACGATTGGTGTTTGGTGTTTGTGGAGGCACAATTGACATTGGACTCTTACAAGCGTTGCACACGGGTACCTATAGCGCTGGGCATACATTTATGATGGCTCAAGGCAGGGCTTGTTGCTGTGTCCTGAGGTCCACACCAGAAAATATAACGAGCTGTGCAGGTGTCATGGAACAAGTAGAATCTTGCGCTGGGGGACTGAGGACTTGTTGAGCCTGAGTTTGGCAGGTGCGATGATTTCATCAGTGCTTGCAGCGCTCCTGGGGCCCTTTTTTAGCTTTCACTGTTGGCTAATGCGGCACAACATGACAACCATTGTTGCTTGGCGGCGTTGATGCAAAGCGGTACATGAAATCTGCACCAACCAAGATTGTGTTGAGTTCTGTGCAACACTTGCGAGTTTGACAGAAATAGGTGAGTACTTAATTGACATTGATGCAACATAAATCTGCAAATAATCAGTCATGGTATGAAACATGTAGATGGGTTTGCGGCAGCTGTGATAATCTAAGGAATATTGCGAGAAGATGAGGGACAATGAGGAGTACCGCGTCTCTCACTATGACATCGGCATTTTGCGGAACATCCAGTGTCCAACACTCAGCGATCACTTCCCGGTGTGGCGGATTGCCGACCGTTCTTGGTTGAACACGATGGACATCACTAACCACTAACCCGACCGAAGCCTCAAGCAACCCCACATGATGGCCGCCAAAGTGTATAGGTCATCTGCTCAAATCTTTGGTTGAGGTGTTCTAGGCGACAACTGGATGTTGTGGCTGCTACCCATCTCTGGGCCTTCCGGCGATGGCCTGCAGTGGGGCATCGCAGAGCAAAAGACCACAGGTCACGCTGCCGGAAGAGCTTCGCCTCCACAGGCGACGAAGGTGCCTGCGGTTGGAACCTTTTTCTCTCTTGTGCACGCCAACGACATGAGTCTGTAGCCGCTGCAGTTATATAATTACAAATTTCGTGCATTTCGGGTCTTTGCGAAATCGGCCCCCATAGCCGCAGATTCATCAAAGGTTTCAATCAACGGTTGACTTTCAACGCCGCAGTCTTCCAAATTCCAAGGGAATCCTTACCAACAACACCCCGAGGGAATCATCCGGTTGGATTGAACAAACAAAACTGCAACAGGTGCTGTACAGGCCAAGGCAACGCTGACGAGCTCGCTTTGCATTGAAATTGGATGAAGTTTTGCCAAGGCCAATGAAGCAACTGAAAAAGGGGCTAGAGATGACGAGTCTGGCAACGTTGCCGCCTCAAGCACCTCTGCCTCGAGCTCTACGGTGGGGCTGGAATTGTTTGTTTACTACTCAAGATGTTGCTGTACTGGTGGCACTTATATAATATCTCGCAATTGCACATTGTTTATAAACACCAACTGCTTCTTGGCAGGAGCCTTGGAACACGGCTGGACACTTTACAGCTCCGCAGTGCATGTATCAAGCAGGCAAGGCACTGCAAGACATGTGCGGCAACATGACAGTTCCTTGTCCGAAGAGATGGGCGTGGCAGGTGGGCTAAGTGCAACAAGAGAACCGTGAAGGTCCGGAAGACCGTGGCATGGTCTGACTTGGACATGACTTGAGCCAAGGACTACTGCCAGAAAATCAAAGACAATCAAGAGCCCAGCATTTTCCACTATGGAATGGGTATTTTGCAGAACATCCACCGTTTGGGGCTTAGAATTTCCGCATCGATGCGTCCGCTGGTCAGCAGTGCACAAATCAATTGCAAAATGCTGTTCGAAGCAAGGCGTGCAATGACCATTTATTGTTACATTTGATGGGCATCGCTACTAGTAACAAGGGCACTACTGCACTACTACTAGTAGCTAGAAGCTACTGGGAACAAGGGCACCCTGCTTGGGGCATCTCGGGACATGCCTCCAAACTGTGACTCAGGGCCGTGGGAAGGGATTTCTGGTGCGAATTGTCCTGATGCGACATCCAGTCTTGCATCTTTTGCATCTTGGGCATCTTGGTTGCAACATATTGCGACAAGGGGGCGCTTTCACTGATTGCACCTGCCGCCTTTTCGGCATGTAGGATGATCAGCGGCAAGTGCTGAAAGAAAGTGCTTGCAATGTCACCCCTCACGGACAAAGACCTTAGCCGCTAAGCCCAGAATAGACAACTAACTGCATCACGGCATTACATTGCATCAGCTCTGTTCACTGTAACGAGGTCCACCAAAGACGAAAGGAACAACCCCTTGCCCTAAGAACAATGAAGGGATAGATTGGAGTTAGATAGTCTCGGTCAGATAGAATCTGATGCAGATTGAGAGGAGACACCAGAAAGAAAAAGGGACCATGACTGCGTAGCTCTTTCAGGCGGGTAGAGGAACCGCGGGAGCTGCGAGTCCATCTCGCACAGGGCAGGACTCTCCGGAACACGGTGCTTCATCCAAGCAGGCAGGTGAGAAAATCGGGCTGCATCGCCTGTGGCGCTGAAAAAACGGATTGAGATTTCACAAGCTTGAGGCTGCTGGCCAAGCACCATGAGCTACAAGACCACTGCAAGAACATGTAAGAATGAGAACTGCTGGAAAAAACGGTAAAAACAATGCATAAACGGAGAAACAAAATGGAATGAAGAGCTCATGAGGTTGGATGTCTTGAAAGAGAGGGGAATCCTTTGAAAGACATGACATTGTTTAGCTAGTATATTCTTTCTCAGGGATGACTTTCACAGTCTTCCACCGACGCTGCCAGGATGCCTGGGCTGCACTAGTAGACTTCGCCGAGCAATCCAGACAATGTGCAACGACAGTGACGTTGGCGCAGATTGTGCGTTCCCCGGCCACGGTCTCTCCGTTGCAAAGCCTCTCCACGACGCAGACGGCGGTCCGGGAGATTTGCTGCGACATGGCTGTGACCTGGATAAATAAGATGAAGTTCATAGAAACCAAGAGTGCGGCGTCGGAAGCGAAGTAGCAAGGCCAGTCGGACGCTGTCGTTCGGAGATTTGAGAGAGTGTGAGAGGCAAGAAGTCGCCAGACGGTAAAATGCATGCGGTAAAGCCACTGGTGCAGCTCTGGCAGTTCGTGGGGCAGAAAGTAGGATTGTAGGCTGGGACACAAGACTTGTGCTTTCATGGGTCGAGGCTTTCGTGGTGAACAAGGCGCAGGGTGTTGTTGGACGGCCAGATGATTGCATGGCTGCAGGAGTGTGTTCTTGAGTCCTCCCAAAGCTACAGAAAGCACCAAACACATATAGATGAAAAGCGTTTGTTTAGCAGCAACTCAGCAACCTTACTACAATTCACAGGGGCGAAGGTTGCATAAATCACGAAAGCTAGCGTCAGCTAGCTGGAGTTACTCTTGCTTTAAGCTATGCACGCTTCAAAGTGGCCACAAAACACCATCAACTCCACCCTGGCGGGTGTCTTTGTCAACAGCTACAAAACACCGTCAATACCAGTGTTTTCAGCTCCTCCAGTTTGCAAGAGTGCCCTCAAACCACGCAATGGACAGGGTTTTCTGTGGCTGTCCGGCCAGAAGCCTCGTAAAAACCGATGGTTTTTCAATTTGTCTAGGCTTCGAAAAGTTAGGCTTCAGTACTTAACCTTGATCCTCTAGCAAGGGCTTCTGTTCAACAGGGGGGCCCTGACCTCCTCCAGGGTTACGCCTGATTCCCTGCTACCTTTCGCTCACCCCCTCCTCTCTCAAGTATAATATTAATATGAGATTAATATCCATGTGTACATCATGATTAAGGTTGTGTCTACCAGACCCCTTTGTTCTAGAAGCTTATCAGCTTGAAACAAAAGCAAAACCCAAAAAAACTGATAGAACCCACGAACCCGAATGCAGTCACTCATGTATAGAGGAGAATGCAAAGGCACAAAAGTGTATCAATCAACACCTTTTCTTTGGATGACTCGCAAAGTCATCAGCAGAAGCAGCGCCAGCGCATCAAAAGCTGCAGCAAGCATTTTTCACGAGACTTTCACCAGAAGCAACAATCAAAGTTTCCAAAAACGAGCATTTTCCACGAGACTTTCTCTTGCTAAACAGTCTTGGTTGAAACTTGTTCTTGACACTCTTTGCTAGACAATCTTTCTTGACATTTGTTCTTGACACTCTTGCTTGACACTCTTGCTGGACACTCTTGCTTCACACTCTTGTTGGACACTCTTGACACGACACTCTTGCTTCACACTCTTTCTTGACACTCTTTGCTAGACAATCTTTCTTGACACTTTCTCTTGACACTCTTGCTTGACACTCTTGCTTGACACTCTTGCTGGACACTCTTGCTTGACACTCTGCTAGACACTCTTGCTGGACACTCTTGGTTGACACTCTCTCTTGACACTCTTTGCTAGACAATCTTTCTTGACACTCTTTCTTGACGCTCTTGCCTGACACTCTTTGCGGAACACTCACTCTTTGCTAGACATTCTTGCTGGACACTCTTGCTTGACACTCTTTCTTGACACTCTTTGCTAGACACTCTATCTTGACCCTCTTTGCTAGACACTCTTGCTTGACACTCTTGCGTGACACGTTTGCTGGGCACTCTTTTCTAGACACTCTTGCTTGACACGTTTGCTGGGCAGAGGCGAGGGTGGCCGGCATCCTGGAGCCAGAGCTGGTGGAGACAGTGGTTCCAAGGAGAGGAGGTGAAAATGGTGATTTCCCACCACCTCACTCCTCAGACATCACCAGATAGTTCGCCACATCTCTGAGGCGGAACGGGAGTGAAACGGGTGCTGCTCGAGTGCCACTACCTGCGGAATAATGATTTCGAACTTGAAGGTTTAATTCAAGACCTTTTCACAGATGGTACTAGTGACTTGTGAAGCTTTGGGTGGTGGAGAATGCAGCCGTAACCTTTTGGAACCATGTCCATGGTTTACCTGTGATATCCAATGATGGTAGAGGCTTATAGCACCACCGTAGGTCCTGCCGTCAACTGATCTCAGCAAACTTTGGGTTTGTGGGGATGTCTGCGGGACACACAGACACGTTAACTTTCTGCCAAGAATCCTTGGAGCCGAAAGGGATGCACGAAACACCAAGAAATCTATCACATGCAGTTGAATCGTGGGTACTTGTTGGGCCTTTGTGGAACCTGCAGCTTGTGGCGCTCGGCTGCGCGAGGCTCTGTTCACGGTGCGAGTTTCACACAGGAATTCTCTACGCCTGGCGGATGATTATGGAGTGTTTCACTGCCATAGGTTCATAATGGTTCATAGATCCTGAGAGTTATGTCAGTGGGTGGCAAAAAGTTTTCTTTGGGGCTGGGTGAGGAATCAGGCAAGGGAAGTCTAGACACATTGTGGGGTGGGTGCATCTTCAGCACGAGGTTTGGTTTGTCAAAAGCAACACCGTTTGAGATTTGAGTATGTATGTAATGCGATGTGATGTAATGAAATCTAGTGTAGTGTAATGTAGTGTAAGTTGTAGTATGATGTTCGTTGTTGTTGCCTCGATATATAATTCCCTTTCCATTTCTGAGAATTTACCGCACTCTACTCATTGTTGCCTTTGAGCCTCGTTTAATTCAATCGAGACGATCCAATCAATGTCCCCCAGGTCCACAGCACTATTGGGCACAGCGGCTTTATCCAAGTCACAGCTCAAGATCAAAGTGGCTTGTGGCACAGTCAAAGGGATGTCCGGGTGATGCAGGACGGAAATTCTTCAGTTTGGCCGAAAGTAGCTCATACCTTGCACGATGCTTCAGGAGACATTTACTTTTCGGATGATGGCAGGCACTGGATGAGAATCACTTCGACAGAGGACGAAGCTGAATTAAGAATATACAGAATGATTGCTGCTTGAAGAAGGTTACTTTGGCACTCTCCATGCTTGGAGGCGAATGGGGAACTTGCGTGCTGGAGGATTGCGAAAATCTTAGCTCTGGAGTGAGGAGAGCATCCTATTCGGCCCGATGCCAATATTTTGGAGCCAGACTTCCGTCGAAGTGGTGCTGGTGCAAACAAGTAACAAGTAGATTGCAGCTGCAAAACCTGGTGCAGGAGCAGACCTTTGGAATGCCATGGTGTGGATGGTTATGTCTACGACTTGGACGGGCGTTTTGTTGAGGTTTTCTTTCGATGAGCAGCCTGCGCGAATGTGCTTCTGCATCAGTTGGTGCAGGGACACATGAAGGGACTTAATTAAGCTGTGTTTAGCTTGTATATATATATATATATCTGTGTGTGCCTTTATCATGCGATGGCTGAGAAAAATAGGGTCCATACTCACCACACCTCACGTGAGCAAATGTTTGCCGCCTGTTCGGTGGTCATTCCAGGACACCTGTAACGGCCGGTCAGCCTTCTGTGCTGATTCGGTGGCAGAATGGAGAGACAAGGATGGTGCACGCCACCCAGATGGCAAGTGTGCGAAATCGAGGGAGATGATAAAGGGGCAATCCTGTGAACCGAATACCTTGTCCTTCGTGTTCATTCAGCGACATCGCTGGAGGGTATAAGCTCTGGAGTTAGTTCTTTCCTTGTGCCCCCTCCAGTGCTCACCGTTTTGAGTTCTTGACCCGATTTTAACTCTGATTGCACTGATCGCAGTTGAAGAATTCAACGGCGCACTATGGTTTCAGCTCGCCCTGAACTCACAACCTTCAAACTGGTGAGCCTTGTGGTTTGCCCTGCCCTGGACTGAAACTTCACTCCTGCCCTTGAACACGGGGAGGGTGAGCACATCAGGTGAACCTGGCGCCGTTTCAGGGCACTGGTTCAGTGAGATGGCGAAGGTTCTAATGAAACTACAATGATGAAACTGTGCCGGTGAGTGTTTCAGAAGGAAAAGAACCATTGCAATTCCAATGAATTCTTGGGACATGCACCTGGTATTGAACAATGTCCGTGCCTCACCTCCTGGCCACCTTACCCCTTCCTGTCCCACCTCACCTGGCCTCACTTCAGCTTGTTAAAACGTTGCACCACATCAATAACCAACCCACCCTAGAGTCTGAGAAAAGATTGTATACGTACCTCTTGCATTTTTGAGTTTTTGCTGAAGTCCACCCTTTCCATTGCCCATGTTCCAATCAACTACGAATCTTTGGGGTTTGTTTGGAGGCTTAAGATTGGGATAAACGGGGTAAACATCCATTTCAAAGCAGCATTTGCATTTCTTCTTGCAGTGAGTGTCCAGTGTCCCATCTCCCTCGTCTGATCGCCAAAAATGAAGGCAAACGGATTTTCACATCCAAAGATCCCATTGGAGTGTCATTTGCAGGGAATTGAGTGCACCCTGAAAGCTGCAGGTCCTTTCAATGTAGATCACAAATGATCATTCAGGGATTCAGAGCACCAAGTTCCAATGACCTGTTTCTTGATACCTTGTTGATGAGTCAACAGGCATTCAAGTTTGATGATGTTAAGCTAATTGACCTACCATTTGCACTGCCGTGGTGGTCAGGTTGCCAAGAGTACGAAGGCAAGAGCTGGTGTGATGCCGATGGCTCCTATGGGTCAGGCAGGGGTAGAGTCGGGTAGAGTGCACAGAAGTCTTGCTGTCGATTTTCCGAAGGCTTCTCTCACACATACTGCAAGGCATTGCAAGACTGCAAAGGTTTTTAAAGGTCCATGATATCTAGGAGTGGTTTCTTACAGCGAGGTGTGCGTACTTCATTTCGCGTCCTTTCTTAGAAGTCAGCTGTCCTTGGCAGCAACCTCCATTTTCATCCATAGAGCGCGAGACTCGTCTCAGGATGGAAGCAGAGCTGGGGTAATTTCAGTGATTTCAGCTTTGGCGGTTTGGACGTCTCGACAGTTTGCTGCAGCTCGATGGATTTGTTGTGATAGGTTTTCAAGGGCCTGCGGTGGGGCCGGGTTCCTAGGTGTTAGATTGAGCGGGAGCTGGGGTCAATAAACCAAATTTGGGGAGGGCTTCAAAAGCTTCGTTTCGCTTGCAAAGTCAGCGTAGCTGCAGCTCTAAGCTCTTGGCATTTCTTGGCATCGTCCCTCTGCAGGGTCACCGTCTTAGTAGTGCATGACCCTGCTTTTTGCTGTTACTGGGTTCCCGTGGCCCCAGTGTGAAAGAAGTGTTCCGGGCTGTTCCAGTGTGAAACGGTACGCACCCCGACTGCCCGTGACTCTTGCCTCACCAAGTTCTCGGTCCAAGGTGCATGTGGAGGAGGGGTTCTCACAGCTGAGCCGGTCACCTTGGCACGATGTGACGAAAATTTGGCAGCCATGGATACGGACTGTGACGGTACCATTGACGCTTGCGCTTGCAAGAGACTGACATAGACTGACCAGATAATTTTGTGTGAACAGCATGGGGACACATCCAAATGCGGGTTTGCTCGCCCAGGATTGTCAGGATGCCTGCCCTTTGGACCCCCAACCGGAGTGCCTTCATGGCAAGGCAAAGAGAAACAGTTCCAGCCCCAGCGTCGGAAGAGCTCAGGTGCACCTCCACCCAGACCGTCACAGGACTTGCTCTTTCAATGCTTGTTTGCAATGCTGCTGCAGCACCTTCACTTAGAGTCATTGCTAACTTTCCTCAATTTGCACTTCGCATATCTGTCGCTGCGATTTATTGGCTCAAAGGGCTGCGGCAAAGAGAAGGCTTTGTCAGACGTGCTGATCAAAATGAAGAAGGGTAGGGCCACGAAGCAATGCAAGATGCGCATGGCGCAAGGTTGCAGCGTGGCTACCTTGCTCAACTGTGCGGATAACAGTGGTGCAAAGAACCTGTACATCATTGCAGTGATCGGTATTGGGGGTCGCTTGAATAAGCTGCCCAACTGCTCTCCAGGGGACCTAGTCCTGTGCTCTGTGAAGAAGGGAAAGCCTGAGCTCAGGAAGAAAGTCCTAAAAGGTGTCCTGGTTTTGCTGGAGCTGATGCGGCATTCTTTTTCAAACTTAGTTCTGGGACGTGCTAGAGCGGGTTTTTGCATAGTGGGTTTGATATGGTTGGATATGTTTTGATCCTCAAGTGTGAACAAGGTGTATATATATATATAAACCTTTTGAGTTCCAAAGCCGCAGGCCGAATGTTTTCAGGTGTGGTGATCCGCCAGAAGAAGGCTTGGCGCCGCCGTGAAGGAGTGTTCGTGTACTTTGAAGACAATGCGGGCGTCATCGTCAATGACAAAGGCGAGATGAAGGGCTCAGCGATCCAAGGCCCTGTGGCGAAGGAATGTGCCGAGCTTTGGCCGAAGATCGCTTCGTGTGCTCCAGCCATTTGCTAGCAAACCTGACAGAGTGTTCATCTTCAGCCCCTGCGGGGAAAGGCACAAAAAATGCGTTCAGAAGCTGATCAGAACATATCAGAACTAACAAGAAGCTACTAGGGGCTCCTAAACTCAGAGAGAGGAGTATTTCAGAGTCTTTCACCCCACCCCTGCGCCTCCTGGGCCCCTGGGCTCGTGTCGTACATGTGCCTCGTGTCTTTTGCCCGTTCGCAGGAGAGGGGACCAATGAGTCGGACACGTCCGTGCTCGGCGCTCGGAGTTTGGTGCGTCCAAAGTGAAGCTAGATTTAGTTTACAAACCAAGAAAAGAAAGACAGCTACGACACTTGGAGATTTTGACTGAGACTACCCTGCTAACGGAACTTACCCGTCGCAACTACAAGAAAGGATGCCATGCTATCAGCAGATTCATCGCAACTCTAGGAACTGCCTGTTGCGCTGATGTCGCAAGTTTGCTCAGCGAACTGTTGGCGGTTTATCAGTCATCTTAGCTACTTTCACTTTAGGTCCACTACGGGAAGGAGCACGGCGACCGGGTGGCAATGAGAGACACAAAATTGCAGCTGTCATTGCTTTGCGGCCCCACACGTGGAACACGCGCATCCATTCTTTGCATGTTCTTTGTAAGATGCGAGTGTGTGAGGCCAACGTGTGAGGATTTCACATTCACGCTTTCCAGTTGGGTCATCCATTGCAATCCTTCGCTGCCAAGGGGGGCGGGATTTGCGGCGAATGTGACGACCAACTACACAAATGAGTCTTCCTGGACAAGCACGGCACCCCCTGCATGTATCATTTTGCTGCCATCGCCAACGAAGCTTGGTCACCAGACGAATCTCTTGTAGATGACTGCAGTATGCAAGGACCTCCCTGGCTGTCCAAGCAGCAGTAGCTCAACATGACGAAGGTTCAAGGAGAGATACGCTCATTATTCAACAAGGATACTGTAACAATTTGGGCGTTTTTAAGAAGGTCTTCAAAGGCATGCACACAAACCCCGTCAACAATGTTCTTTCCGCATGGACAACGTTCTTTCCGCAGCAACAATCTTGTTATATACACACTTTAATTCTCTTGGATTAAAGGAAGAACTTTCCGAACACTAAAAAAGAAATCCAAACAGTTTTGTACATATCATATAATGTATAGGTTACAATGTTCTAAAGAACTTGTCAATAAAGCTACAAGTTTCCTTTTGTATTTCTCCATGACAACCGTTTGTCGCCCGAACACTGACCAAACACTAAAATGTTTTGTAAACTTCTTTCCTTGTTTGAGCATTGTAACTTTGAGAAGAAGTTGTAAAAGAAACTTGCAGCTTCAAAAAGGAGTTGAAAGAAGTTGAAGGTTACCAAAAGAAGCTGACAGTTGCCAAAAAAGAATTGAAATACTGTTGCCATGGCTGTGTTACATATAGGCTTATTCCAGGTACAACCATCGCAGACCTTTTGAAAACACAAATAAATATGTACGTCAAGTTTGTTGGGCCTTCCATCTACCTCCGCAGTAGCCTCACAGGTCTCCAAGAATTTGTTGCGTTCCTTCAATGGTCGCAACTAAGGAATATGTCGGGCGAATCCACGGTCACTTGCCATTATCATGGGTAATATCATTTGTCACATCTTCCCTTTGCATGTGCCCAGAAATGGCACGAGTGGGTGACTGGTCAAAACCTGACTCCGGCCATACAATGCCATACACCAAGGTGGTTGACTCAATTGACTCGACCGGGGCCAGAGGCCGGCGTGTGTCTTGTGGAGCCGTGCCTTCCGGCATTTGATGTTGTAAGGCACATGCCTAGAATAAGGACTAACGTACAGTAGCATGGGCATTGGAGACAGAATAGTGAAGGAGACCCAACCGTACAGCAAGTCGCCGCCCGACCTTCTACCGGAAAAATTCCTTGCAGCCTGGCTCAGTACACCGTGAATTCACGGTTGAGGTGTGCAAATGCTGGGTGTACTACTCAACTCTTCATCTTTGACTCGGTCACTTGTAACATTCATAGTTATAGGTCTTGAAGTTCTTGTGCAATTACGGATCTCCGAACATACTATCGCGTCCCCTTATTTGTGTAGTTGTGTAGGTCCGTGATGAACCACTCGTTGTGCTTTTGACTGCCGGCTGTTTCACTTGCACGCTCAAGTGTGATTAAACAGGTCGAAGATGGTTGAGGCCACAGATGCCAGTGCAAGGATTTGAGCACCATTGATGGAAGCTGCAGCGTACAGCCTTAGTGAAGTGCTGAAAGCCTTGCACAGTAAGTGCATGACACTACACGCATGTGAGAATCGGCTTGGTGATCAGGGTTCCGAACAAGTAGCTCTTGCGTTGGCAGAGAATTGCTTTGTTCGAACACTACGCTTGCATGACAATGATATTGGGGATCACGGTGCCGCAGTACTCGCAGAAGCGCTTCTCAGCAATCGATGCTTGTTGACCCTGTCCATGACACGCAACAGGGTTGGTCCTGCGGGTGCCTGGGAGCTTGGCATATGTTTGAGAGCGAACTCACGCTTGACCAAGCTTGATTTGGGTCAAAACTCCTTGGAAGACGAAGGAGCCATAAATTTGTCACTTGGATTGGCCCAGAACCATGGATTACTTTCTTTGGATCTCCAAGCCAATAGAATTGGAAATCCAGGTGCGGCAGCTTTAGCTGGTGCACTCACTAAGGGTATCTCCTTGAGAGAGTTGCACCTGCGTGACAATCGGATTGACGACGACGGTGCTGAATCCTTGGCCGGCGCTTTGGCCCTCTCCAAGTTGGTCTTACTGGACCTGAGCTTCAACATGCTTGGGGGCTCTGGACTACACCAGTTAACAGAAGCCGTGGAGCAGTCAGAAACCATGACCTCCTTGAGCTTACAAGGTGGTCGTTTTCAAGGTCTTGAGGTGCAGCGCTTGCAAAGTGCATTGGAGCGAAACAAGCGAACGCTGATTCTGATGGTTGATGTGGTTCGAGCTTTTGAGACGTTGCAGGTCTCTTGCAGAACGATGTCTGGCAACACCATGCTGGAGGTTCAAATCCCTGACGTCACGTCATTAGAAGAACTTTATATCATGGTGGCTGATGCAGTTGGAACCCCGGCCTCATTGCTCAATCTCATTGATCCAAGGGGGGAAATTCTCGCAGATTCCCCTGACCTTGTTTCTGAGCAGTTTGCACAGCAGGCCGAGGCATCGTGAGAGAGCATGAAAAAGAGTGCACGTTGGCGTCCTGATGTTGATGCTGCAATCGCGGAGGTTGTACCTCAGCTATGGCGGGCGTACGTTGTACCTTACATGGGCAATAGACACCTAATAGGCCTGATCACCGAGCAAAAGTGAGGGAAGGTAACAAGTTTTGCTCCAATGGGATGTTGAATGGTTCTCAAACCAGCAGCTTTGATCACTCAGTGGGGCAAATCATGGTGACCTGGCCGACTTTTTTTGTCAGGCAGTCGGCTCCTTAAAGACAGGGGAACCCATTCCAAGGATGACTGACTTTGCACATTCATATGCCATATGTATATATGTATATTGATATATAGAAAGACGTTCACCCACAGGCCAACAAAAGAATGGCATGTTTGGCATGACCTGTTGAACATGCGGGTGCTTTGTCCGGGCAGGTGTTCTTTGGCCTTCAATCACATCCTTTTTCCTCACCCTCATCCTCGCGCAGTGATAAACCCCGCCAGTCGGACACATGCCTGGATTGGCCAATTAGGAAGTAGGACGTTTTCGGTTGTTGAGTGAGAGGCTGTTGAGCTGTTTAGGGGAGCTGGTGCCGGACAAGGCTCATGGCCCTCTTGTCCTTTTTTGGCCCTCATTTCGTTCGTGGTATGAATTCGACTTCTGACTGGAGAGCAAAAGGCTTGCCGCCTTGTGCAGACAGTGATCAGTACGACAGGGATCTCTCTTGGCCATGTGCTTGTTGGCAAAGTGGTGTATCCCACAATGCATTGGTCGATGTTTGCTTTGTCCTGTGATGTTTGGGCTCGCAGCCTTTGGTTGTGATGGGGCAGGTAATTTCCGCTGTGCCAGGGTGCCAGAAGAGGTTCGTTGTGACATGTATTCTTAAACTTCCCTTGTGGACTCGTGGCCGAGAGAATCCAATGTGCAGGAAGGCCCACATTGAAATGGACATGTCAAAGATGCTGGGTGCACAAGACTGGATCAAGCGCTTTGGTGATCAAATGGATCTTGTTTGTATACTGCAATCTGTCGACAGATGGCGCACCACTGTGAAGTAGTTTGGGCTGCGAGGTGGTTTATTGGCATCAGCGAGAGGGAGCTTATCAGTGAGCGCAGAGAGGTGGCAGCACATCTAATTTCTGACCACTCGCTAATCGCATTTCGACGCTAGAAACCTGTGCATGACATAGATGTTGGTTTTGTGCACGAATGAGGGATGGCACAGATACACCCATGATGAGCGCGATGAGGCAGTCTTCGACGGCAGCAGCTTTGTGTGCCCTGTTTGCAGCTGCAGCGGGCGAGGTGGGCAATACGACAGGGCGGAACATCCTGGACCTCCAAGCTAAACATTGAGCCAACACAGTAGCCAAAAGAACACGTAAAAAGCCTCTTGTAAATTACAGTTGATGGAAAGAATCTGGCTCTGACACCCCAAAACACTGAAGTTAAATGGAGTTGGTTTCCCTATCTCAGCTGGTGCAGGCGACATTAAGTCATTGGCCATAGGTGCACGGACTACTTTCGGAGGTGGGCCAAGGGGGGCTCCAGAGCCATTGGTCGGCAAGGGCAAGTCCTCCAGAGCCATGTCGTATTGAACCGTTCTGCCGCTCTGCCCTTTCCCAAGAATGGTCCTAGCCACCCTTCCGGTGCGAAGATGTGTGAAGCATAGACTGACAAGACTGACAAGACCCCAGTCCTTGTGGGAATTGCACCATGCCTGAGGAATCTATCAACAGGACAGAAGTGGCAAGCGGGCAAATTCGAACGTAAGACCATTCAGGAGAGAGTCACAGCGAGCATACACGGAGCACAATGGAACGTTTGTCCTTTTACCCTTGTTGCCTGCCTCCATGACAATTACAACTCATGCGATTGGGGCAGGTCACTTTGGCCAGCCACCCTGATTGTTGATGTTCGTGTGCCATGACAAGCAGGAACTGCAGGAGGATACTGGCAAGATGAAGGTCGAAGGCGAAATGGTTGAGAGGCCCAAAAGACAAGTTCTGCCATGTCCGAAGATGGTGTAGGCATGTGTAGGCGATGTGCATGGGTTTCTTGAACCTTTGCTTGTGGTCTTGTAGATTGGCTGAAGCTCCAGGGTGCCCTTGCTCCGCGTGATTGATGGGTGCGATATTGGAGATCTTCAAGCAAAGCTGAAAACCGAGCATCGCGCGGGTTCCTTAGAGCTATTCCTTTTCGTTGGGCCTTGTGGCTGGCTTGAGGGTCTTGACCCCGTCGCTGCTTGCACTCTTCCTGCTCACCTCACAAACACACACACACACACACAAACAAACATGCACACACACGCACGCACGCGCCCGCACCCGCACATTTTGGCTGCAGGATTAGGTTCAAGACAGGTGCTATGTTGTAGTCTCGTAGACCCGACCTGACCGCTTATGCCGACGGTTTTGCGGTGCAAGAGTTGGAAATCACACAGGGACTGGCAGCACAGCTGTGAGAAGGCCCGAGGTGTTCAGCTTGAACAAGCCCCCCTGCCGCGAAATTTGGGCGAAGGCCCATTTGCCACAGCAAGGGCTTGGTATCCTCGGGGTGGTCACAATGAGCTGAACAACAAATCCCTGATGGTCTCGGGCGTGGTGAAGACCAGCTCTTGGCACACCAGTGGTGGGATGAACTCCACCTACTCCCTTGCCTTTGGCTGCCCGAAGAAAGACCCTACACCTTGGCAGCAAGAGCTCGCCGCTTTGCGGAATCTGCAGCGTTCCAATTTCCCTGACTGGAGAAGAGATCTTTCAACATTTTGATGCACCCATTCCAACCAACAAGCTCAATGGCGCGGGCATGTCCAGAAGGTTTAAAGCCTCGCAACTTCGAAGAAGCTTCGGTGGCTCTTTTTGAGGGCTTGCCCCTAAGGGGCGCAGCAATATATAGAGGAATCGCATTGCCCAGTCTGAGAAGCTTAGAAAAGCTGAGGATGGGAACAAGAAGTGCAAGCAAGCAGCAATGGGATTTCTTAATGTTTTGAATGGTGCCATCTAATGTATGAAGGCCATGGTGCAAATCGCGTCGAACTTCAACTGTTTAGAGTTGCTTTGCTCAAGTTAGTTTGCTCGGATGTTCCTTCTTTGGGCGATTGACATTCTGGATGGGGGACAGAGATTCCATGACAGAGGGAACCATGCAGACCTTGCGATGCCTCACTTGAGGAATCCTTCAAGAGGATGCCTTCCTGATTATGGGTCATTGGTCGAGAAGTACTGTGTTGATTCCACACAGGCCAGGCCTGGCCGGGTGGTCTGAAACTCTGTTGGTGCCGCGTCAGTCCACGGGGAGTGAAACTCCAGGGGCCTGCGGCCTCCTTTGGTGTGCCAGCTGCCAGCCTGCTGCGCGCACACTACGCCTTTTTCGCCACGAACCCTACAGATAGCTGGCAAACGCGGCACAAACGGAGCAAAGGTGTACACGTGTCCATGTCACTTGCATGCCTCCAAGGACAGCAGCAAGCCAGCTTCAAGCTGGGGCCAGACGAAAGACCAACAGGCTTTCACCAATGTCCTGCAGGAATGCGCTCTGTCATTTTTCAATTCCTTGTCCAAGCATAGTGTTATTTGATGTTCTGTCTTTGGGGCAGGTGGACCTGCTTCGTCGAGTGCAGCACTACTTTGGTACCTGCGTCAATGGGAAAGCCACCCTGACTGGAGCTGAAGAACAACTACCAGATGAGAAGCCACCTGGCTTGGCGTCTGGACCAGACTCACCAGGCCCCGTTGTTTTCTCGCCATCCCCGACAGACCTGGCACACTGGCGACAGTTCCCAGACATGGCCATCAGTTTCGTGACGGGCTTTGAAGAGCACTCGATTTTCCTTGGCTCTTTGTGTTTATATAATAAGTAATGATCACAGCTGGCCCAGTTGGCCGCTTGGGCCACAAGGATCAGGACTCAAGACCATCAACCAAAGAGTGCTTGCGAGTCAGGTTGACACCTGCAAATCGGAATAAAACATATGACAGTTCCTCCAGAAAATATGTCAGGTTGTTTCATAGATCAGCATTGGTCAGCATTGTATGACAAGAATGTGACAAGAATGCCTCGAGACAAGGATTGATGAAGTCTTTGAGCAGATAGAAGCTACCCGGCTTTAAGGATACTGGCTGTTAGATGCTGTTAGGATTGACAAGGTGGCACTTGCTGTGAGAAGCACACCCAATGGATCCAAGTCTCAGCTCGTTGGACTTGACTGCTTTGACTGGCTGTTGTGCTAAGGTTGGCATCCATTCTGATGCAGAGGCATGGCGTGCCTGAACTGCTTGAACTGCGTTCGTCCGACAACTCGCAGACAGACTGACAGATTTGTTGAATCGCGTGAATTGAGTTGTGCTGCAGGGTCCTTGTCCTCAGGTCATTTTTGGACGAGGACCTAGCTGGGACAGAGCAGTGAACATCTTGGATGAGAAGCCCTTGGTCGACCAGGTGCTTGCTTAGGGCAACGGAGTTGCTTTTGCAACCTTGCGGATTTACCACGATCTGCTTAAGTGTTGATCATGTATCAATGCAAGCCATTGGGATTTCCCGGAACGCTGGTGCAAACCACTGCAAGGTCAGAAAGCTCAAAGCATGGCCTTCAAGTAAGGCCACCTGCACTTGTGAAAGCGCATAGAAAGAGCCTGCAGGTTCTATCGGCTTCAGTCAATTGGAACAGCCCGTGCTACTTGGCTCATCCATGACGTCAGTATGAGTGTAGTCCCAAATGTTGTAACCTTTTGCATTTCCTCCAGTTGATGATTCCCACATGAAAAGCAGCTAAGTGAGTGCTTCAGGGTGAATTCCAGCAATGCGGCGAACTCGCTCGCAAGATCCAAGGCCTCTCGCGTGCAGAGGTGGTGGATGAAACGAAGCTGTTGCCGCTCACGCGAGCAGCTCTCCGCGCAGCATATCGAGGTGGAATGAGTAGTTGTTGGAATCAGGCAGCCTTCAGACCTTTGTTTGCTGTCCTAGCACGTCTTGAGCAACTACCAAATGGAACACAACGAACACGACCGTGACCCGCTGTTTACCACCGACATTCCGATAGATATCGATCGATATCACCTTTAGAATTAAGACCCTCAAGCACATCCAATCTAATCAGGACTTGAGTAGTTAGTATCCCTTCTTCCGTGGAGATATGTTTGTCAAAGTTTGTTTACCAAAAGAAGTCAATGAGCATTCGGCTGAATGAGCATGCCAAATGTTTAAAAGGCGAGTCACTGCACTGAATTCGAAGACTTCAGATTTCCCAAGCACGACTAGAAGTGGAGAGGCTATGAAGCACAGTGTGGTCCAAGGCTCTGACCATTTTGGCCAATTCAATTCGATTTTGTTTGGGATCCTCTGTGACTAGTTGGGGGCAGCTTGTGACAAACACATGGCAGTTATATAAATATAGTTCAATCTTCCTTTGTACCCACCACAGGCCGTGACATGGGATGCGATAACAGACTCGTCCGCTCGCAAGTCCTTTTAACCAGGACAGGTCCAGTCCAAGGAGTACTACCAAATTATTATCATAGTTGGACATATAGTTAGACCAAATCATGCCACAAATTCATCCCTTCGTACAAGACTACGTTTGGTGGACGTCGTTAGGTGGATACAGTGGAAGGGAATGTCATGCATTTTACAATCAGGTGACGTCTGCAAAGACAGCGAAGAAGCACCAAACCTCAAGTTGGCGATGCTGTGCTTGGCAGTTTGTCAGTGTAGGAGGGCCGTTGCCGATGCAAGAAGAAGGGGTCCGTTGGTCGCCCATGCATATGACCTGTTCCTGCTTGGCCCTGACTAGAAGCGACTACAAGTTGATAATTTAGTTCTGCTTGCTTTTGCGTTTGGACGTGGTGGCAGGGGCGTACCTTGCAGCCATCGCTCGCGGACGACACTTGCTGTTACTCACGCTGGCGCTTTGGCAAAGCAGAACAGCATTGACAATTGATTGATGCCTTTGGGGTATGCACATCCAATCCAAAAGCGGACAAAAAGGCTTTGCAAACATTCCGAGATGTCCAGCGTGTCGTTCCTTCTAAGATTGGGGGCGGCGTTTTCAGCAATCCACACGACATGATCCTCGAGGCAGGTCATGAGCATCTTTGAAATTTGAGTCCATGTTGTTTTTTTGCTGTGGTCAAGACCTGCTTCCGAAAGTTTCCTTGCAGGAACTGGCCCTTGCACATGTGCCGAAGCTTTGCAAGCAGCAGTTTTGGAAATCGACTTCGTGTGTTTTCATCTCAAATGTTGCGATAACGTCTTGTCACAAGTCGGATTGCTCGGATGCATGAGGCGCGCTATGCCCAGCATCACGCCAGTGAATTGCGTGAAGTTCGCCTTTGCTTATACCCTAAGGGGTTTCGAACTCAGTGCTGCATCCCATGCATTTCATTGAGAAGACAGGGCGGCTTGAGCAGTGAAGCCTGTGCAACATGTGTAGCCTTTGCAACACATGTTAGCAAATTGACCGGATTTTCATTGTTTGGAAGGACTGCTGCACCAATTGAAAAGAAACTCAAGCAGCTGTTGGCTGACTTGGGCTACGCTCCGGCATGAGGGCAGAAGAGGGCAGAAGCTTGTCCAATGGTGCGAACCTTCGTGGCAATGCTTTGTACAGATGGCCGCGGCCCTGACAAAAAAGTAAGAGAGTACGGACCTGGAACAAGACAGCTAAACACTTGATGTCCAGTCAGATCAATCACGAAGTCAGCTGTCTCGAACGTGCAATGCGGCCATGTTGCTCTGCGTAGATGCCACGTATTGCCACATGGGTGAGTTGATGAGGTTGGATCAGTGGATGAAATGACATCTACAAAAGAAAGCACTGAAGGTCCTTGGAAGCTGCTGCTTGAAAAGACTCACCACAGTGATGCATCTCAAGATGAACACAAGTACGGGATTTCGGTCATCCACCTTCCAACTGGTCGCACAATCAAACACTTGACAGGTAGTGATGTGGTTACCAAGTTTGGAGAGTTTTCTTCAGGATACAAAATGCCCGAGCTGATACGCAAGAAGGGCAAAGATGGCAGTGAAACTATTCAACTGAAGGTGTTGAGCTGCAAGACAGGTGAAGATGAGATGTTTGCTCTTAAGGAGCCAGCCGGAGCTTCCTCCTGAGGTCCACGAGGAGATGTGGCGGATATGTTCTGCACGGTGAAGGGCAGTGAGCGACACTACCAGAGAAGGAAGGACAGGATGGCTCCGCGGTTCTTCGGCCAGATGGATCCTCTTCGCGTGGCTATCGCTAGTTCCAGGAATCGAGCTGTGTTCTGCGAGTGCCGCGGCGCCGACAAGTTGGCAAGACCCAGATGGAAAAAAAGAACGTTTAACGCTTGTTCTGGAAGTGGAGACCAGCAAGATCGAGGTTTCCGCGCGCACACACACACACACACACTCACATGTATCATATATGTGGCAATACCTTCTTTTTTTTGATTTATACAGCATCTACATACTGTACATCATATCTGTGTACATGTGTGTGTGCATGTTTATTTTGCTGATCCTTTTTTGGGGCGTGCTCTTGGCTTAGCATTGGAATGTCTTCAAGAACTTCAGGATCTTAGTCACTGCTTCGTACAGTCGACCAATAGTTTCGTGAGCTTTGCAGCTACTTTTCAATGTGAATGGCTCAGCAGCTTAATTGTGAGGCTTGGCTTGAGCCATGCGAAACTGAGCAGACAGCACTCTTGAGTGCTCCCATCAGCCAAGAGTCCAAGAGGTAGAGGTAGGCACTATATTCATGTCAAAGTGAACAAGAAATTGCAGGAGCCCCCGCCACATACCACATTAACCTCCAGTGTCAGAAGCAGGAACCGCATGACACATCGCGGTCATGGAGTTCTTGCATTGGCTGCTGGCTTCTTCTGGAGCTGGGTGCAGTCCAAAGTTCACGCATCAGTGAAAAGCGCACAGATTACGCAGCTCCAACCCAAAAGAATAGAATTCCTCGGAGGGGTCTAGAAAGAGTAGAAAGCCACTGAACATTTTCCCGACACTGACTGGCCTAAATTGGGCCTTCTCCATGTCAGCTGGTTTCGGCTTGTCCATCAACATCCATCAAGAGTATCTATGGAACCTATGGTGAAATTTTATTCCGAGGGGTTCTTGAGGTCGCCATATGATGCTTTCCGATGATATGATAGGTTCCATTGCTTCCCACGTCCTTGCCGCAGCGAGCATTGAGCTGTCAAGTACCCTCAGCGCTTCTGAAAGCCATGATTCGCTGCAGCGATGTGATGTGCGGGAGCGAGCAAGGCCAGTTCCGTGGCAACAGTGAGAGTGTTGGCTGGAAAGGCAGCTCTGGAACTATCAAGATGCACCCAGCTAGAAGCATCCGCAGGGCTGAATGGTTCGAGGGCAGCCTACGGTTGCTTTGTGAGCAAGATGGAGCTACTGAGGTGTTTGCCTTAGACGGCTTCAAAGACAGTGACTTCGAGCCTTTGTGGAAGTACATAGAGCAAGCCTGTGGGGTTTATCTTAAGAAGCACCGCCCTCAAGCTGCCGTTGAAGAGGCAGACTTTGATTCTGCCATGGGTGGCATTGAAGATGCAGCAGATCGGGTTGATGAAGCATCGAAGGGCTCTGTTCAGAAGAAGGCCAAGGAGGCGCAAGGGGTGCAACCTCTACAGGGACAGGACAGGAAGGTAGTTCTTCCATGTTCTTCCTTCCATTTCAGGCATCGGACACGGCAACCACCCAAATTGCTGGAATTGTGTTTGAATTAAAGATCAAAAGAGAGGCGTGCCCCAACATCGAAAACCTGGTAGGCCGACCTCATGAAGAAGGTGGAGGTTCTCCGTGATGGCTTGGATCAGGCCGTGAGTGGTGACAAGCAGGCGTTGAGCCGAGTTTTCGCCGCGAATGGCTGCGAGCGAATTGGACGTTTGAGACTTGTGGTGGACACGGTGCAGCTTGAGATCTACCACACTGACCCTCGGTGGAAGCATTTGCTCAGCAAATGTGCCACCATTGAGGCGGTTCTCAAAGAGTTGGGCACCTTCCGTTTATGGAGGCCGGTGGAAGGCCATTCCTCAAGCTTGCTCAAGCGTGCCGCCATCGTGCGGGAACTCCGACACCGGCACGGTGAAGAGGAGGTGAACACGACAGATCCAACACATCCAACACCTGTACCTCCACCGGAACTTCCACGCAAGATGCCAGAAGTACCAATTCTCCCGAAGGTTTCACAGCTGGATGCAGACTTGCCAAGTCAGGACCAGGCTTCAGCTTCAGTACAGCCACATCCGGAACCTGAGCCTGTTTCACATGACATTGTGAAGGAGGATGTTCCCCCAAAGGCCAACGAGGCGAAAGAGGCATGTAGAAGCTCACGAACCCCATCTGAGTCCGCAGATGAAGAAGCTGAAAGATCGGAAAGGGTTAGACGCATGCTCTACCTGTACCCCACCAGTGTCATGGAGGGTTGGGTGTGGAAGAGGAGCCGCTTTTTGAAGATGTGGCGGCGTAGGTGGATGGTGCTTTTGCCTGGCCAGCTTGTCACCCTCAAGACTCGAGGACTCTCAGGCAAAATTAAGTAGGCAACAGTAAAGTCAAGTGAAGAAACCGAGCTCGCATGTTCACAAGGTGGATGGGGCAATACAATTTACGCATGTTTATGTAAAAAAATCATAGTGTTTTCTCAAGCAGAGAGGTTAGTGCATCTTAGTGCCCATTCGGTGAAACACTGCATCAAGCTGGCTTGACTAAGTTGCCCTGGTTTTCAAGCGCCGATAAGCTTTTCCACTTGAGGACAGCATGCCCCCACAGAGGTGATCCCTGCCGGGAGCGTCTATCGAGTCTACAACGCAGAGGCGGAGGTGCAGCAAGCCCGGTGCTTTTGCGTGGGGATTCGGGAGAGGAACTACTACATGGTATGTGACAATGAGAGCCAACAGCGTTCCTGGATTGAAGCCATTGAGCAGACACTTTGCAAAAAGAACAGAGCTTGAGCTGACTGGTAGCTGTGGGGGCTGGGCTGCTTGGGCTTAAGCATGCACAGCAGAGGCCTGCGCCCAGGAGTTGAACTTGATGACCCGTGTCACGTAATTGGTGCATTTGGCATACTTTTGCGATCTTTGCCACTACCCATGCACGCCGGCGCAAAACTTGTTTGCGCCAAGTTTCCATTACCATGGGGGTTTTCTTTTTGCTGTTCAGGTTAGTTAGGTACCTCATTTTGCCACCTGACCGTGAAAGACAGGTGAACGTTTCACTTCCAAAAACAGGTTCATCACGCGGCCTGTGCGTTGGCGAGCAATCAGATTGTTGGCCAAAAACAGGGCCAAGCTGCTGGCGCAAAGTTTAGCTTGGTTGCGGAATGTTACGGAGCTCATGCACTACCACGGTCAGCAGAACAAGCCCTCGTAAAAGACAAGAGAAGCATCTTAAAGTCTTAAGATTGAGGCGTAAAAGGGTGAGCATTCAAAACTCAGCCTTTGTGCGTAGAAACATGTTTTGGAGGGCGGTTGTCGTGGCTTGGTGCCCGTCGCGTTTTTATTGGCCGTCGAAGTGCTGCAAGTTTTGCCAGGAGCGTGGCATTCGCTTTCCCGCCAAAGCATGTCGCAAGAAGGCAGAGAGCTATACACAGTTCTTACCGTCAGTCCCAACAGGCAGAGCGTTGCTGCGGTAAAAAGATCTTCGAGATGAAAAAGGAAGGCAAGGCCCGTGAAGGGCCCTTGATGCCTTGCCTTCCTTCTTTCATCTCTTTTTACTCCTTTGTTCTTCTCCAAGACCTCCAAACGTTGCAGACAGGTGGGCATCGTCGGTACTGTTGGCTCCTCAAGCCGCACACGCCAAGTTCTTAGGCCCATCTCTCCCAGTGTGATGCGTGTCAGGAGTGAGTCTACTTAAGAGGTATATAGATGGGGAATCATAGGGCACACTGGCCTGGCCTCTTTGTGTTTTCTTAAAACTGTTTTGTGTGTCCATTTGTGGCATTGGCGCAGCTCAAATTGACCTTTTGCGACCTCGCAGCACCATGGAGGGTGCCAAAGTCTATGTCCAAGATGCGAGGGTTTGGCAACGAGCGACGGTCCAGGCTGCTCTCGGCCATGGAAAATATCGGGTCTCTTTAGAAGGCTGGGAGGAAGATGAGTCAAAAGCAACGACCTCGATGGATGTCGATGCTTCCAGCATGGAAGGTGGAATGCTGCCTTTCCAGAATTCAGACATGCCAGAGAATGGCTTTCCGGATATGACAAGCCTGGATCATTTGCATGAGCCTGCCCTACTTCACAACTTGCGAAGGCGCTTCTTCTCTCAAGCTTGTCCCTACACGTACACCGCTGACATTGTGATCGCTATGAATCCCTATCGGTGGTTTCCGCAACTGTACACCGATGAGATGAGGAAGGAATACTTGGTCTATGACCGCACCAAGCTCGAACCTCACGTTTACACCACCTCGTCATTAGCATATTCTGGATTGCAGGAGACGTCAGCCAATCAAACGGTCTTAGTGTCTGGCGAATCAGGTGCTGGCAAGACCGAGACGGTCAAAATCTTGATGGCACATTTGGCCTTCATGGCCTCCTCAGATGATACATCTCACATACGGAGAATCGTGGAATCCAATCCCCTGCTGGAATCCTTTGGCAATGCCCAGACAGTTCGCAACGACAACTCCAGCCGCTTCGGGAAGTTTATTGAGCTCCAGCTCAACAATGAGTGCCGCTTGGAAGGGTCCAAGTGTCGGACCTACTTGTTGGAGAAGTCACGCGTGGTTAGCCAGGATGCAGGTGAGCGAAACTTTCATATCTTCTATCAAATGCTGGCCGCTGACGGCGACACCCGAGCAGAAATCGGTCTGGGTGACCCATCTCTATCAAGAGATTCCCTGAGATATACTAGCATGGGCTGCTCCAAAACTGATACCATCGAAGGCAAAAGTGATGCTCAATCCTTTCAAGGAACTGTGGCTGCACTGGCCCTTTTGGAGATCCACACTGAGAAGCTCACTCGTTTGTTGCGTGCATTAGCTGGAGTGCTTTTACTAGGGCAGCTGGACTTTGCCGGCACTGAAGAGACGTCACAAGTGACGGACACATCAAAAAGTGCCGCCGCCTCTGCAGCAGACGTTTTGGCTGTCGATGTCTCTGAGTTGGAGCGTTCGCTCACTCACCGGACCATCCGGATGCGGAATGAATCGGTGGTGAAGCAGCTCCCGCCAACGAGTGCCACAGGCAATCGGGATGCTCTTGGAAAGGAGATTTATGCGAGAGTCTTTGATTGGCTCGTGGAACAGATTTGTTTGGCGACAAGCGCGCCACCGGAGCGAGCAAAAGCCTTCGTTGGCTTACTGGATATTTTCGGCTTTGAGTCCTTTGCCATCAATCGCTTTGAGCAGCTGTGCATCAATTACGCCAATGAAAAGCTGCAGCAAAAATTTACCCATGATGTCTTTAAGGCCGTGCAGCAAGAATACACTGCTGAAGGTATTCCATGGGACCGTATTGAATTCAAGGACAATGCACCTATCCTTGCTCTGATTGAATCAAAGCTGGGTGTGGTTGCCATGTTAAATGAAGAGTGTGTAAGGCCCAAAGGCTCGAACCAGAATTTTGTCTCAAAGCTGGTGTCAGTTCACAAGGAGGATCCAGCCTTCTCTGCTCCCAAACTGGGGAAGTTGAGGGAACTGCAATTTTGCATCCGCCATTATGCGGGAGAGGTCATGTACACAGCCGAGGGCTGGATCGACCGCAACAATGATGCGGTCTCCGAAGATTTGCTGGCTTTGATGCGTGGCTCCAAGAATGAATTGCTCTCTTCCTTATTTGTGGAAGAGACCAAGGCCAAGCGAGACACAGTTGCGACCAAATTCAAGGCATCCCTTTCGCAGCTCATGGAGACCATTGGGCAGACTACGACACAGTATGTGAGATGCATCAAGCCCAATCAGAACAAGTCACCTACGGAGGTGCCGTGCCAAGTTTGGCAAGGGGGGTTACATTTGTTCATTATAGACCGGACATGGTATTACATATTTGCAATCAATAAACACATGAGTATTATATGTTGAAGCGTTTCCGGCATTTTCGCTGAGCATGAGGGTCCGGTTTAGACCGTTAGACCTGTTGCTCTCGTCAATTTCAGCCCAGCCAGCAGGTGAACAACGAGATGGTGGTGGACCAGCTGCGATGTGCTGGTGTCATCGAAGCCATCCGCATCAGTCGGGCTGGCTTCCCAGCACGCATGCCATTGAAGGACTTTGCACAACGCTTCCAGCTATTGGTTCAACGATATCACTCCAAGGGATTGGTGCAGTTCACCGTGAAGAATCCGGTGATGATGGGCCAGGAGCAATCAGAGAATTGCCGGAAGATCTTGTCCCTTCTGGGGACAGATGAGACCTACCAAGTCGGCCGCACACGGGTGTACTTCAAGAGTGGGGTCTTGGAATCCCTGGAAGAAAGGAGGGCTCTTTTGATCCAGCAAGCTGCAATTGAACTAGCTCGACGAATCCGTGGGCATCAGGCTCGTGGTTGTGCTATGTATGGTCATTGTGGAAGATAGAGTACGCACGGCATCAAGCCGCTGCGTAGGGCTGCAAGCCCCAAGTGCAGAGACCGCGGTCCATGTCACACCAAGCCCTTTACTGTACTCTATATGGAGCTAATGAACCTTCACTTAGGGGTAAGAGATCCTCGTGCCAATTTCCACTACCAAATGGGTGGCCTCAAGGCCACTACAAAACAGAACAAACGGTGCATTTTGTAGAAATGGACATGCATCGCATTCTTTAGTAAGATGCTGTGATTTGCACCCCAGACGTCAGGCAGAACAATTTGTAGAGGGGTGTTGGTAAACGTATTTTTGGATGACTCTGAACCTCAGGCAATTCAGAAGCCCTTGATTTTGTAGTGCGGCATATATCCATAGGTCATTCCCCACCTGTCAGGTGAGGGTTGTTAGGATTTACGTCAGCCCCATCTCCTCCTCCTCTGCCGCCGCCTCCTCCGCCACCTCGTCCTCCTCCGCCTCCTCCGCCGGACCTCAATCAACCGCGACCATCCACGCCCAGTGTTCCCTGCCGGACCTCAACCGCGAGCTCCACACCCAAGTGTTCCCCACCGGACCTCAACTGCGACCATCCACGCCCAGTGTTCCCTGCCGGACCTCAACCACGACCATCCGCGCCCGGTGTTCCCTGCCGGACCTGAACCGCGAGCTCCAGACCCAAGTGTTCCCTGCCGGACCTCAACCACAATCACAAACACAATCATACCACCACACACAATCACAAACACACAGCCACAAACACAACCACAAACACACAACCACAAACACAGCCACAACCACAACCACAACTACAAACACACACAACCACAAACACAACCACAAACACACAATCACAAACACAACCACAACCATAACTACAAACACACAACCACAACCACTACCAGTACCACAAACACAATCACAAACACACAGCCACAAACACAACCGCAAACACATCCACAAACACACAGTCACAAACACACAGCCACAAACACACAATCACAAACGCAACCACAACCACAACCACAACACAGCACACAACCACAACCACAACACACAACCACAACCACAACACACAACCACAGCACACAACCCGAGGACCCACAAGCAACATCGAGAACTACAATACCATAGCAACATGCTGCTCACTATGGGATCAAGACAAATGATTGAAATGTCATGGTGGGGGTCACTCTATAGTAATTTTTTAGTACTGTGTTTTTTGCATGGAACCTTGCATTTTGTAGCAAATGAGGTTGCGCAAACAGTTCTGTACTATAAAATGTATTGTCCAAGGCCACCTGCCAAGTCGCAAAGAAAATGGTAAGAGAGGTATAGAGAGGTGGACGGGGTTGGAGACAGACAGGTCAAGCACGAAGGGATTGGTATGTTTCAACTGCGATTTTAGACTTTTGTGCAGCTAGTTGTGCAACATGTTGATGCCCCCGAAGGCTCACCGGCGCTTTGGGCAGATCAAAGGCGTGGTGCGGCGCACGCAAGCGACCTGGAGGATGAACTTGGCCCGAAGCAGCTATCAACGAGTGCGCCGAGTGGCACTCTTTTGTCAGACACGGCGCAGGGCTGTTCTGGCGGCCCGACGGGCCCAGGAACTGCGACGTCATCGGGCAGCGGCCAGGCTTCAGGCTCAGTGGCGGCGACGGATTGCGATGAGGACACTGCATCGAGCCAGGCAAGCGGCAATACGTATTGAAGCACGGGCCAGATCTTGGCTTCAAAGGCGCCAATACCTGGTGAGCTTGGCTGAGTTCAAAGAACAAGCGAAACTTGAAAACCAAGTGAAAGCTTTGAAAGCCAAGCTCGAAGCCCAGGAAAGAGCCAGCGCAAACTCCAGTGAGACAACCCAGGCACCTGCGGAGGTCCTTGAAGCTTTGCAAGCTTTAGGAGCAGAAAATGCCAAGCTCCACATGGAACTGGACCGGTTGCGGGATGAGAATGACAAGCTGCGCCGAGAGAACCAGAAGCTGCGTGCCATGGACACAGCTCGCAGAGAGAAGCTGGCATCATGCAGCCGCTCCAAAAAGTATGATGAAGAGCATAAGGCCGGTCACGGCACAGAGCTTGAGCGCGAGGAACAGCACCATGCTGGACATGCAGAGCATGTCGGTGATTCCAAAAACGGTCCAGCAATGCGGGCATTACAACTATACCCGCCATTGAACGAGTTCTGGGAGGACGTGCCATGCGTGGGCATCCCATTCCTCCAGACTGGATCGCTGGTTCATCTCAAGTTGGGTGCAAATATCCTGTTTGTCGACATCCATGGGAAAAGCCTCATGTGGCAGTCGTGGATGAATAATCACTCAGGCTACCGGAATGCTATGGGCTTCATTGTGGAGCGATGCGCTGAGCAAGACCTGAAGAAGGCAAAACGCTCTTCGATTTGGGGCAGCCCTGCCAAAGATGCCAAAGATACTCCACATCGATCTTCAAGTGAAAGCTCCTCCATAGGAGAAGCGTTTGTTTTGCGCTCGAGTTGGACAACAAAGTATGTGAAGGTTGGTGGGCTTCTCGACTGGTATTGCCTGCAAGTCTCCGGAAAGAGTGCTGACGATGCGGCTGTGTTCACTTGCAGATCGGTTGGCTCGGAGTCTGAGTCCTACAGTTTCGCATTAAAGCTTTTTGGGAAGGACAAGTACCTCTGCTTGCAGAACGATGGCTCTGTTGCTATGGAAAAAGTTGCAGACATTGAATCAGCCCCGAACAAGCAGAATTTCATTGCTGGCTTTGAATGCCTGCTTCCGGCAACATCTTATGACATAGTGATCTATGAGCATCATGTAGGTCTCACTGTCAGCAAAGATTTGCCACTACGAGTTGTGGGCTTCAAGAACGTTCAAAACCCAGGCCGGCCACAGGAAGCAGGTCCTGCAGAGTCCAGTGGTCGTGTGCGTATGGGCGACGTGATCACCCACGTCAACGGCGTGGACGTGACCAGAGTTCAACGCGAAGATGTGTTGACTCTGATCAGTATAGAGCGTCCTGTGATGTTACGTTTCTTGTCAATCGATCCCACCTAGGTTGCTCAAATCCGGCCAAGTTGTGGCGCAAGGGGAAAGAGGGGCACCGATGGGGAAGTGTCAAGATGGGATATGCGTCAGGCGTGGTATGCCGTGGTTATGTGTCACTTGTTGGATGCCACACTTGTCTCGCAAGACTTGCTTGCAAGGTCTATGTAACTTTAGGCAGGTTTTGGAGAAGGACAAGTTTTTGAAAGCTGGGTCAGTCGCTGGATCTTTGAGACTAGACGGCTTCGCTCTGTTGCTTTCTTGGTCATTGGGTCGTCTTGAATGTCGTTCCAAGGCTTTGGCATCAATCATTCCGTTTTTCAATGTTTTTCATTGGTTTCTTAAACGTCTGCTGGAAGTCACTGAGGCTGGAGCGGGGCAATTGGATTCTTTTGGGCCACTTGAACTGAGACTTCAGCAGTGGCTGAGCCCTTTGAAGTCGATGGTGGGCAACCGGGCCCACATCGACTTGACGTGTGGCCATTGTGATCTATATTCTTCAACTATATACATCTTTATTACTTTATATATATATATATGACTATATATATATGCATATATACACACATCGCTAGATGACTTATTTGTCCATTTCAATTTCAATGTTTAACTAGGACAAGGAACGAGTCGACACATCTACCAACAATGCACTTCTAGAGTTGGCGGAAAAAAAACTCAACTTCGGTGACAGGGTGGCACAAGTAGCCTTGATCGGCGCCTTGCTTTTCTTCAGCGTTGCTGTGTTTACCTTTGCCAAGCCTGAGCAGGAGGACTGGCAAGCAAAGATCCAAACGGGCCTTCTCATGCAGACAGACAACAGGGCAGACACCCAGGTTCCACGTGTTCGCATTGCGCCCGTGAGGATTGGCAGCGTGAGATTGATGAAGTCATGACGGAGGAGGCTCAGAAGTTCTTGTGTGCAGAAGGGGAACTGGCAAAGTACAGTTGGTTCAAAAAGCTTGCAAAGATCAGGATGTTACTTCCTATGTTACAGTAATAATGCCTTCTTTTCAGGGATGGGCTTAGAACTCTTTCGGAATTTAGTTGAAGCTGGTTGTGGGCCAAGCACCTAGAACTTGGGTCATACTGTTCGTGGACCAGGTGGCATGATGGGAGCCGTGTAGTGGCTCGTTGTTATGGAAAAATCCGTCGAATCCATTGATTGGTAGTAACAAGTGCCTCGCTATTAGGAACAAGTGCCTCGCTAGTAGTAACAAGTGCCTTACTAGTAGTAACAAAGAAGCTATTAGGAACAAGTGCCTCGCTAGTAGTAACAAGTGCCTTACGAGTAGTAACAAAGAAGCTATTAGGAACAAGTGCCTCGCTAGTAGTAACAAGTGCCTTACTAGTAGTAACAAAGAAGCTATTAGGAACAAGTGCCTCGCTAGTAGTAACAAGTGCCTTACTAGTAGTAACAAAGAAGCTATTAGGAACAAGTGCCTCGCTAGTAGTAACAAGTGCCTGACTAGTAGTAACAAAGAAGGTATTAGGAACAAGTGCCTCGCTAGTAGTAACAAGTGCCTTACTAGTAGTAACAAAGAAGCCATTAGGAACAAGTGCCTCGCTAGTAGTAACAAGTGCCTTACTAGTAGTAACAAAGAAGCTATTAGGAACAAGTGCCTCGCTTCTAGTAACAAGTGCATTACTAGTAGTAACAAAGAAGCTATTAGGAACAAGTGCCTCGCTAGTAGTAACAAGTGCCTTACTAGTAGTAACAAAGAAGCTATTAGGAACAAGTGCCTCGCTAGTAGTAACAAGTGCCTTACTAGTAGTAACA